GGGCCCAGAGTTGGTCTTGCTCATTTTTTTTTTTTACTAGAGCTGTCGATTGTACTTCAGCTTTACCCTCCTCCCTCAATGCCAAGAAGAGAAAGAAGAAATATTCTTACCCTGTGCAGAATGTTAGAATTACTGTCAACCTGTTACTTAAAGGGGGGATATGCATACAGAAAAGTGTGCACATCATAAGTGTGTGGCTTAATGAATTATCACCAACTGAGTATAGCCCTTAGCACCGAGATCAAGTATCAAAGATGACCAGCACCTTGGAACCCCCACCCTCACCCTGCATTTCACCACCCGTCCCAAAGCTTGTCCTCTGTCTTCACTTCCTCCCTAGGAAGAAAATGCCTCCCTTTGAACTATATGTGCTCCATACTTATATCATGTTTATTTTAAGAAGCCATCTGTAATAAGATAACATTGCTGGAATGTTCTTGCATTCTTGACTATAATCACATTATGAGCAGAAAGATGATAACGAGCTACATAAGACCCTTGGAAGTTTGAAGGTTTCTTTGCACGTCTGCCCGTGTTTTTCCATTTTTCCCTCCAGGATTTTCTTTTCACTTTAGCATACTACACTGCTCTTCTCATTGAGTAACCCCTGCTCAAAGGCCCCAGGCAGTATGCAGCATTGTTCAGAGGGGAAGCTGCCTGGGCCAGACTTCATTTCCAACAAGCAGGACATCGTCACTTTGCCGGGAAGTACCCTATTCCATGCCGGCATGTGCTGACCTAAGATGTCCAGTGTCCTGATATATTAATGCTGAGTCTTACCAAGCGAAGCTCCTAGGAAGAATCCTACAAATCTGACCTTTCCTGCCACTAGCTTCCAGTGACCAGCTTGGAATTCCCCATCTCCGTCATGTGGCCTCATCATCCAGATACTTTGCCCCATCTCTTGACAGCATGAGTCCAATTCTTCTCTCAAAAGCCATTTTTAACATTGGCATCCACATCACCAGAAACAATGCCCTGAGAGCCTGAGCTGAGCTCAGCAGTTTAGTCATCTGGCATTTTCACCGTGTCCTGTCTAGGAAATGGTCCTGCTTTCTGAGAGCTGATGTCATTTTCACATCACCCTTCTTGCCCCCCCGCCCCTTCCTTAAGGAGTTCCTAGTTTTGAGGACTCAGCCACCTGGAGGTTTCCCCGAGGCTCCGGCAGTAGCTCTCCCCATTTGGATAAAATTGTCTTCCTTCCTGGAAGGGAAATGTTTTTTATTTCCAGTAATTGTGCTGCATGACCCAAAGTAAAGATACTGGCAACAGCACTCAACACTGTGGTTGGTGTGAGTGAGGCAGAGCCGGGAGAAAAAGTATCCTTGGGGCCTGCCTCGTGTCATCCCTGGGTAGAAGCGTGGGCGGCTGTGGCCCAGGGGAGCTGAGGGTCCCCGGGCAGGGCAGGGTGGGCTGGTGGCTGTGTGGCTCACCCAAGTGAGCTTTTATCCACTACGGATAGAGTGGATATTTTGATATCCGTTTCTCGTGGCCTCCCATGTCTTTCATACGGGCCTTTATAAATCCGTGTGGCTACGTGGTAAACCGCCATAGGGGGAATTTGACAGCCCTCTCTCCTTATCAGGCCCTACAAGAGCAGCTGACTTCAGTGGTCCAGGAAATCGGGCACCTCATCGATCCCATTGCCACAGCAGCTCGGGGGGAAGCAGCGCAGCTAGGACACAAGGTAATGGACCCTGCTGGGGGTGTGCGTGAGAGATGGGTGTGGGGCAGTCATTGATCACTGACCGTTCCGGGGTCTGTTTTCCGCTAGAATCCAGACGGAAACTAGAGCGAAGTCTTTCTGGTTATGGTCAGACTTGCCAGCCAACAAGACATGACAGTCCCATGTTGTGCTTGACCTCCCCTGGATAAGCCAGAGACTAAAGTTGATGTCCCTAGTCTGCTCTCTGCCACCATTTGTCCCTGGCTGGCTGGCCTCATTCTCATGTGTATGGGGGTACATTGTTCTCCCATGGCTTCTAATAGAGTGCCTGTTTTCACACATGGGGGAGCAAAGCAACCTTGCAAACTTCATCTTGAACAGCCAGGACTCGCTGGACAGCCACTCCAAAGGAGCCCTTCACCTGAGAGCTCATACCCGCGTTGTCTAAAGGCTGAATGATATTTTGCCTGTTTGGGACTCATTTTGCAAATCTTTGAAGGGTAGGTGCCTTGTCCAGCAGCCTGCTGGACAGAGAGAGGGCCTCCTCAGCAGAGAGAGGACAAAAATTGGATTTGGAACCGCCTCCAGGGTTTCCGAGCGTTTATCAGTGTGTCCGTCAGTATCGATGTGCCTATCAAGAGAACTCGGTAGCCAAAATCTTTTCAGCAGGTATTGATTTTAGAAAATCAATATTGTTGCTTTTTCACATCATGAAACAGGGGAAGGGCTACTTAGCTTCCTGCTGGTTCTAAGGGCAGGTTTTTGAGATTTAAAAATGACCAGGGTCCCTCTACGCTTTCAAATGTGGCAAATTTCATTTCTCAGCTGAGTTCCTTTATAATGAGAAGAGGGCTTGTCCACCTGTGTGAACCTCTGCACACAGGAGAGGAGCCTGGAGGAGCCGGGAGGGGAGGCTGGTCTGGAGGCCAGAGCTCTGCCAGCCGGGGGACTGGAGCCATTGCTTGAATGGTGCTGGCCACGGGGAACTGAGTTTGGCACAGAAACCAGACTTCACTTCAGCGGTGACTTTTGATTCCGGTCAGAACTTTGTAAGAAAATTTTTCTAGGGGTGCCTGGGTGGCTCAGTCAGTTAAGCATCCAACTTCAGCCTAGGTCATGATCTCACCGTTCCCCACTTTGAGCCCTGCATGGGGCTCTGTGGTGACAGCTCAGAGCCTGGAGCCTGCCTCGGATTCTGTGTCTCCCTCTCTCTCTGCCCATCCCCTTCTTATGCGCTTGCTCTCGCTCTCTCTCGCTCTCTCTCTCTCTCTCTCTCTCTCTCTCAAAAATAAACATGAAAAAAGTGTTTTAAAAAAGAAAAGAGAGGGGCGCCTGGGTGGCGCAGTCGGTTAAGCGTCCGACTTCAACCAGGTCACGATCTCACGGTCCGTGAGTTCGAGCCCCGCGTCGGGCTCTGGGCTGATGGCTCAGAGCCTGGAGCCTGTTTCCGATTCTGTGTCTCCCTCTCTCTCTGCCCCTCCCCTGTTCATGCTCTGTCTCTCTCTGTCCCAAAAAATAAATAAACGTTGAAAAAAATAAAATAAAATAAAATAAAAATAAAAAAGAAAAGAGAATCTATCTAGACTTGGAGGACAACAAATCTTGTCCCTGCAGGTATTGTTGTTAGTCTTGAAGATTAATTCCTGTGTCTGTGGGTGATATCAAAAGAAAGGTAACATACTGTGTCACTTGAGTGGCAAATTTACTCTCGGTCCTTGGGCTAACCCAGTCTCACTTGCCAAAAGACAGTTCTGGACAAAGGAAGCCTCAGCCCTCCTTCCACAAGAGTCTTGGACTGAGAGTTGATACCTACATGGTTCCAGTTCTTCGTTGAGACACCCTGGTGGAGTTCCCGGGTCAGCTTCACTTGGGAGTGATAAACACAAGCTCTCAGAACCCACGCGTATTAGTTCCCTGGAGCTGCTATAACAAATTCCTAAGAACTGGGTGACTTACACCAACAGAAGTTGAATCTCTCGCAGAAGTCTAAATTCAAGGTCTCAGCAGGGCCAGACTCTTTCTGGAGGCTCTAGGGGAGAATCCATTCTTTACTCTTCTTGTTACTTTTTTTTTTTTATCTTTTATTTTTTTTTTATTTTTATTTTTTTTCCAACGTTTATTTATTTTTGGGACAGAGAGAGACAGAGCATGAACGGGGGAGGGGCAGAGAGAGAGGGAGACACAGATATCTTTTATTTTTAAGTTTATTTATTTTGAGAGAGACTGAGACAGCACCAGTAGGGGAGGGACAGAGAGAGAGGGAGAGAGAACCCCAAGAAGGCTGTGCACCATCAGCACAAACTCAGGAAACCATGAGATCATGCCCTGAGCCAAAACCAAGAGTCAGACGCTTAACTGACTGAGCCACCCAGGCGCCCCACTTCGTTGCTCTTCTGACTGCTGGTGACTCTTCGTGTTCTTTGACCATATCCTGCCAGTGTCTGCCTCTCTGGTCACATTGTCTCCTGCTCTTTTCTTTGTCTTCCCTTCTTCTGGCTCTTATTAGAATATTTTTTAGTAGATTTAGGACCCACCCAGGCAAGCTAGGATGACCTCATCTTAAGATCCTTAGATAACATCTGCAGAGACCTTTTTTTCCCCCAGTAAGATCGCACTCACAGGTTCCAGGGATTTGGACATGGTCATATCTATTTTGGGCCACCGCTCAACCCACTCTGCCACCCTAGGCCTAAGCAATCCATGTCATGTAACAAATACTCAAAATTCGGTGTTATTTTAATTTCGGTGCTACCCCAGGTAAGGATATTTCCTCTGCCCTGTCTCCAGAACAGAAGGTGTTAGAGTCTTTGCTAAGCTCCCTAAATACAGGGAAAAGCACATCCTTTCAAAAACCTTTGTCCACAATACATGAAGAATAAGGACATGTGGCATTTATCAAGCGCCTACTCCATGGCAGGCATTGTGCTGCGTACTGTTATGTATGCTAATTTAATCCTTCTAACAATCATTTGGAGGTTAGTGCTATTATTATCCCCGTTTTATAGAGGAGGAAACAGAAGTTTGGTAATAGGAAGCAGATTGCCTAAGATTTCTCATTTAAGGAATTGACAGAATTCAGATCCAGCGGCTTCTGAAACTGGAGCCTTCTCTCCATCACCCAGCCATAGTGCCTGCGTGAGGGCACCAGCTCAGTTGTATTGAATTACTCTCCACACACAGCAGCCCTTGACATTTTACAGTTACAGTGATGAAATGTACTTTTAAAATTAAAAAAACAGAGGCTCCTGGGTGGCTCAGTCAGTTAAGCATCTGATTCTTGATCTCGACTTGGGCCATGATCTCGTGGTTCGTGAGATCACGCCCCACATTGGGCTCTATGCTGACAGGGTGAAGCCTGCTTGGGATTCTCTCTCTCCCTCTTTTCCAAATAAATAAATAAACTTAAATTTAAAAAAAAAAGAATCAAGTTAACAAATGAAAATAAATAATAAATAGATAGAATCTAGAAAACATGTTAGATTCTAATGCACTAAACACCTTGATTCCTCTAGTACATACAGGACCCATCCTGAGTCCTGCCCCCTGATGACCCATTAGTGCACTGTGGTTCACCTTGGTGGTGACCCCAGTACCCTACTAGGGGATGAGGGTGAAATCCAATGCAAATGTGTAGGGCTGATACCTGGAGTTGTGCAAGCTGGGTCTTACACAAAGGTGTTCGGGCAAAGCAGAGAGTGGGGCCAAAATCTAGTCGAGTCATGTGCCTTGGAATCAATCATGTCTGACCCACAGATAGGGAGCCCCTTTAAAATTCATCCAAAGCACCACAAAGGCCAGCAGCAGCCCTGCGGAAGCGCTTTGAAACCATCTGATTAAAGAGAACTGTAATTGAGAGTAAAAGAGCAAATGTACGTTTACTGCTGGCTGATGGTCCGTCTCACTGTGAGCTCTAATGACCTTTAATATTTTGGACTCCTACCTTGGCCCAGCCACCACCAACTGCATGAACCCCTGCCCCCTGCTTCATTTCTGACCCAGTGACTGCACAGCTCAGGAGTGGCCTTCTTTCCTCTGTCCTCCTCACACTCATTATTCCTCCACATAATGGGAAGAAGCATTAAGGGAAATTGCTGGCTAGATGTCTGAGCTCACATACACTTGATGGAACTTATTTATCAGTTAGTAATTGGCATGCACAATGAGGAGTGGAACAGAAAAGTGTGGTCAGTGCCATTGTGTTTTTTCCGAGTGGAAATAGATGGTGGTATCTGAAGCAAGTACGGTGAAGTGTTCAACTCTGGCATTCTGGATGCTAGGCAAGTGGGTATTACTGTATTATTCTGGAACTTTATTTTAAATGCCTTACAGAGCAGCAAATACCAAACAAGAAACTTCTGGGGCGCCTGGATGGCTCAGTTGTTAAAGCGTCTGACTCTTAATTTCGGCTTTGGTCATGATCTCCCAGGTTTGTGAGATCAAGCCCCATGTCTGTCTCCATGCTGACATCAGGGAGCCTGCTTGGGCTTCTCTCTCTCCCTTTCTCTCTGCCCCTCTTAAACTCACCTGTGTGTGTGCTCGCTTTCTCTCTCCCTCTCTCAAACTTTAAAAAAACAAACAAACAAACAATATGGGGCGCCTGGGTGGCTCAGTCCGTCGAGCATCCGACTTTGGCTCAAGTCACGATCTCACGGTTGACGAGTTCAAGCCCCGCGTTGGGCTCTGTGCTGACAGCTCGGAGCCTGGAGCCTGCTTCAGATTCTGTGTCTCCCTCTCGCTCTGCCCCTTCCCCACTCATGCTCTGTCTCTCTCTGTCTCAAAAATAAATAAACATTAAAAAACAAACAATAAACTTCTTTTTTTTTTTTAATATCTATTCGTACCTTCTGCCCATTTTTTAATTGGATATTCAGTTTGGGGGGTGTTGAGATTTTAAGTTCTTTTTTTTTTTAGTGTTTATTTATTTCTGAGACAGAGACAGAGC